GGACTGAAATCCTGTTGATGCAGTTTCACATGCCCAAGGTTGATCCCATCATCAACTATGGCCTTTTACTGCTAAGTGAACATTTCCAAACACCAGTAGCAATTTTCAGACATTAAAGACTCCCTCCCTCCCAACACAAGGCCCCCAAAGGCTTTCCCAGGATGAAAGAGATCCCTAGGGAGCCCTATAACTGGAGCGGGGGGGGATTTGTTAAGAAACTTTTAATTAGTGATTAAAGACTGCCGCTTGAGTGTGCAGAGCTGGACTAACGGGATCATCAGCCATGGGTTGACAGGCATGGACCTTGATGATTCTAAGAGGCACTAAGATGCTGTGAGACAAGTGCGCTGCCCGAAAGGTGCTATCGAAGGGCATCCTGGCAGCTGTAAAATCTGCGGAGAGGTTCAGGACTTCTTTCTTGACAAGTAAAACTGGGTACCAAACTGAATATGACTGACCAGATTTGTAAATAAGATCTTGCATCATTTTGAAGAATAAACTCTCAGAGCAATAGGACAATTCATACCAGGGCCACAGCTCCTTCAGGATGGAGATGTGTGTGTGTGTGTGTGTTTGTTTGTTTGTTTGTGTTGGAAAATGTTGAAAGCAGGTGCTCTACACTGTCCCATCTTCATGGCAGGTCAGGACGGCAACAGCTGGAAGCGGGACCTCAACAATCAGAGCCTTCCAAATTTGGAATCTCCTTTTCCCCTCGGGACAGGGTTTCGTTCACAGAAACACCAAGTTCATATTTCAGACTGACTCACTGAGCAGCCATATCTTGTTTCACAAACACATTACATGGCATGATGAGCTGCAAATGATACCACATTCAAGCCTCCGTACTTACTCTTTTTTTCAAAGAGAACTGCACCCGCACTTCTGAACACAACAGTTGTTTTGGTGTTGTCAGCTAATGTAATGCACTGTTGATCTTTGACAGCATATAAAAAAGACCTGTGGAAATGGCAAGAGGTATGAGAAATATTGACTCTGCCAAAATATTCACATATTTATATTTAGTTATTGTATTGATAAACATAGTTACATGCCACCTTTTGGGTGGAACCTTCACTGAGCAGAAAATAATATATTAATAAACATTTAACATATTAAAAACAAAAGAATTGGCACAATTAAATCATAAAAGATAATACAGACCAGGTGAACTATAATTTAAATAAAACATTATAGGTGAAATCCAACATCATTTTACAGGACCTTCCCTTCTCTGTCTACCCACATACCCCTTCCTGTCTACTTTGCATAGTTCTGCAAAGAGTACTGACTTGGCACTAGATGGGTGGCATATGAATATGATAGAACTATACCTCTACATATTATATGATAGGCACAACCAGTGAGAGAATCTGTTGCCATCATGTATACCTCTACATATTATATGATAGGCACAATCAGTGAGAGAATCTGTTGCCATCATGCCTTGCTTGCTGGCTTCCTCTGTTCACCCAGCTGGCAGCTGCTGGAAAGGGAATCCTGTCTTAGAAGGACCCCATATTATATCCAGCCAGAATTTACCCTTTCACCCCTCTCTTTGAAGAAGTAATTTTTATTTTTATTTTTTGGCTTTTTATCTCTTTTTTTTACAAGTAGCTCCTTACTATTACTCTTCACTCATTGCTCAGTGAGTGACATGCCAGGAACTAATATCGTATTTTTAAAAAATATATATATCTTTGAAAAATACAGAAATTGTCTTAATTCCACATACATGAGCTCCAGTCAACATTTTAGAAGTAGAAAGTACAGTAAATGTTAATAGTACAGTTTTAAAAGCAGCGTTGACAATTGTTACATTATTTTCAAAAAATATCTCAGTGGTTTAGGTATTTGGCTGTGGAGACAGAGGTTGGGAGTTCAAAATCCCCAGGGAGAATGGACTTTGTGTCGTTGGTAATGAGCAAATGGTGCAGTCCCAGAGCAACCCCAGAAGAAGGGAATGGTAGACTACTTCTGAGTACTCACTACCTAAAAAACTCTAGAAAGGTTCACCTTCACCAGAGTTGACTTGATGGCATTATGTTGCTGCTGCTGTTCTTATTGTTCTTATTATCTCTCATTGTATGGCTCTACCACCAAGTTCTGTTTGCAACTGTGCAACTTCTGCAAGTTATTAGTACACAGACCATCCCCAGAGCATGGAAGATAGGAAACGCAGTGTCTGTGTTTGTTTCACTCAGGGCACCTAAAAAAACCGTTGGCCTTAACCTCTGACAAACATCAGCAGAAGTGGGATAAGGAGAAGCGCAACCAAGGGTCCTTGTTTAGACAAGAACAGGGGAGGCATGCATGCAAAATTTGGCACTGCTTTCTCTATCATCAACAGCTTGCCTACTTTTACTTGAATGCCAAATGACATGCAGCACAATTCAGATCACAGTACAGTTTCGGGAGACTCAGACAGTGGCTGAACTCCTGTTGCTTAGCATGGCAAGTCACAACTGGAGTATACTCACTGATTAAGTGGGGGTTTGGAGAGTCAACCCTTCCATAAATTCCATGGATTCAGTGAGACTCCTCTAATTGCAATTTACTATGCTAAGCAACAGGATTTCAGACAGTATTAAAAATACATGATCATGTAACAAAGGAATTATGCATCTCAAATGGAGGGGAAATCACTATCTTCTGTAACCTGAATCTTCAGACTTTCTTTCTCACATGGCACCAAACACTCATTCAGCTCAAACTGAGGCATGTTCACCCAGAGAGTTCAGTGAGGTTAGCTTCTCAGTCATTGTGCATGGATGGCTGCCTTCATATGTAAAAGCCATATAAGATGGGTAGATTTTGTATGATGCACCAGAGAGAGTTACCTGCAAGAAAATGCTGTTTCTGTTTCACATTTTTCTGCATATTGTTCTTTACTGAGTGTTCTGTAAATTCTTTTATGTTCACCGAAGATCCAAGCACCATCTGTCCTAGCATAGTTATCCAGTATATCTCCTTCAACTAAAAAGGCGAGGGGGCGGCAGCGATGAGATGGAGAAATTAAAATGTTACAAAATTTTAGGTAGCATTGAATAATAACATCCTCTATTGAGCTGATATAAGGACCAGAGTCAATGTAGTCTGGTGGACAGAGGGTCAGTCTAAGTCTCAGGAGCCTAGATTCCGATTCCTGCTTGGCCATGGAAACTCACTCAACATGGTGGCACTGTAAAACCATTCCTTAAATATCTCACATACTTCACAAATCTACAAGAGTCACCATTAAATTGGAAATTACCTGATGGCACATAATGTGCACAAGGGCTATGCATGCTTTTCTATGCAAATAGAAATCAATGCATGATCTGCATTCTGAATTAGGTAGGATTTTTATAGCTGAATATGTTTACACATAGTGTATGTGGATAGTCAGTATAATATGTGTAACACTTGTAGTGTGCTGAAGAATTTTTCATGATATTGTTTCATTACACAACATGTTTGTTCACTCCATCTTCGAATTCACTAGCTCTCTCATCTGAGGAAATATGGCGCTACCATTTGGTAGGATGAAGTGACCTATCCCAGATATTAGCACTGGGAAAAAAAACCTGAAACGTCTGTCAGTTCTTTGTTCCTTCATTTATGATTCTCTTCTTTTCTCTTCTCCCTAGGATGCCTATTTTTCTGCTTAAATTGGAGAAAAGCTGGTGTGTGTGTGTGTGTGTGTGTGTGTGTGTGTGTGTGAGAGAGAGAGAGAGAGAGAGTAGTTCTGTAGTTTGTTGCCATAGACATCATGGACATCATCTGGTGGGGTTTAGACTCACTGGAACTCAGACCTCTGCAGACCCCTGATTAAGGGGATGACTATTGGGGGGACTGATTAAGATGGTCTGCCACAGGAGGGTTATGGATCCGAATGGTTCCCGGATGGCTCTTGGGGAGTTTCCTGTTGCCTCGCAGGTGATTCTGTTGAAGCTCTGGTTGAGCTCTGGAATGGGGAAATGGGCTGTTACCACAATCATTCCTAAGCATGAAGTAGAGCCAAACTGACCCCCTGGTTTACTGGGGAGCTGGTGGTGATGAAAATAATGGGACGGAGACTAGAGATGCAATGGCAGAAAACTCCGTATGAACCTGACTGAACACGGGCTAGAGCCCGTTGGAAAGCCTACTTCGTCATTCTTTGCCACCACCATTCGTTTGGCAGAGAGTCATTCAGTGGAGCTCTTCCAAATGGTCAACAGCCTTTTACATCATGGCCCACAGGAAGGTAATGCTGACCACTTGGTAGCTTGCTGTGGAAAATTTGCACAGATCTGCTCTGACTTAGATGCTGTAGTTAACAAAGGTCCTGTAAAGATAACGATGGCTCCTGCTTGTCCTGTATTGATAGATAAGGTTGTATGGTCTGCAACCAAGGATGTCTATGTCAAATAAAACTACTGAAAATTTTTAAGATACCATAAGTCTTGTCACTACTGTTGCAGATGAACAAAGTTACCCACCTGAAGATTTCTGCGGAAATTCATTGTTTTCAGATGTGCCTTGCAAATACCTCACTTGTTTCAACTGCCTGGACTACTTCAAGCTCTTTGCTCAGAACTTGATCCTCCCAATTTCTCCCTACTAAGGGTTCCAACCACCACTACACCTGACCACAAAATTGGTGCTTGTGTAGCCTCCGTCTCCCTCCACATGTATTCTCACATGCTCCCGTACACACTTCAAAACTGATCAATGTATATACTTTTCATTCTTCTGTTTTTAGCACCTCTTCTTAATCTGTATCCCCATAAATATGAAGCCTAGGTAATCTACAGGCAGCCTTTCTTGTGTAAATCCCAGTTTTACACATCCTCTGGTAAATTTGTACTCCTATGCTAGTAATTCCGATATTCTATACTTGAAAACCTAGACCGTAATAGCAATGGGAAGTTAATTTACCACCTGTTGGAATCCCTTAAAATACTGGAAAAGAAAGTTATGATCAAGATTACGCATGAGAATTCAGATATAATTCGAGAAGATCAGAAGACAAGAACATAGTAGATTAACACCAATTTATTTGTTTATTTGCTATAGTTCTGAATCAAGTAGTCAAGAGGACAGCATCCTGTCAAGAGCCAAACTAGTTTTGATAAGAAAGGATCATAATTAGGACTCTGGCACCAGGAAGAAAAGTTAACCCTTTCTCTTGGCCTGTTTTCCCAATCATAATCTCTCTCCTTCCCTGGACATGGCAGCTGCTATTTGCTTCAGCTAATGCTATGACCTGGAATGGCTTGCGGTCCAAGCAGAGAGGGCTCTTCACACTGAAATTTCAAGGCAAGCCCCTTGGGCCAGAGGGCAGGTATATTTTCCTCTATGGATGCTGTCAGGTTTTCCACATACTAACACTTTTATTCATGGATTTATCACATTACTAGTTTGACTGAAGGTTCAACGAGGTTTAGCACCTTGTAAGTGAACACAGAACAAAGAGAAGTTGTTCTGGGGGGCTACTGTCCCCAGAATCTACCAGTAAGGATGGGCAAAGGACAAACTACAAAACATGCTGTAAGGAAATATAAAGTAGCCAATCCGATCATAGTTCTTCCAGGATGTATTTGACATTTATTTTACAATCATTAAATTATTTAATGGTGTTGCATTTCAAATTCCTTTTCTCTCTCTGTCTTTTCTTCTCTCTTGCTTTCAACATTAAGTCAGAGGCAATTTAATTTTCTTTCATTATTCTTTCAATCCATGGAATAAACCTAGAAACGCGGACATAAACCCCCGGCTTCATGGGCTGAGCACAGCCAAGCCCCCAGGAGGTGACTCCCTGAAGGACATATCTTCCTTGTTCTGAACAGACCAGAGGCCCTCCGCTGTCACCCTAGAAAAGGGAGAGAGAAGACAATGGACAAGGAGTGCAATAAGAATCAACATTAGAATATAATAATAAAAGAAAACTTATACATGATTTCTAGACATATCTCATACAATGAATTTAGGGGAAAATCCATAGGTCAGTGGTAGAACATCTGGTTTGCACACATAAAGCCTCAGGTTCAGTCCCTGATGTCCCCAGGTAGAGAGAGAGGAAAGATTTCTGCTTGAAACCATGGTGTGCAGCTGTTTGTCATTTAAACAAATTCATACAAAATTTCAAACTCTGACATTTCTCCTTCTCTCCTTTTAGCAGGTGAGAGAGCTATAAAAGTTAAGAGACAAAAACCTAAAGCATGTTTCAGTAAAAAAAATTACAGGACACTGCAAGTTTACAAAGCACAATACAAAAAGTAGAGAGCATATCTCTCACCAGTACTGTACTGCAGAAAATATTGATATGGGTTGTTTGGAAAACAAAGGCTAGTTTTGCCTCTGCAGTGGGAATATAGTCTCTTTCTACAGGCTTTGCGCTATTGTAGAAATCTATGCATATACTGGGAGCACACCAATATACTGATGACACACTGGGAAAATAGTTGTCCCCCCCCAAAAAAAATATAATTATGAAAGTGGACCTTGGATCAGCACAAAATTTGGCACTGATGTCTTTTTAGCTCTGTGCCAAGGGTTTTCAAGCTATAAGGTTTTTTTTAATTACACTGTTTTACTCAGTGCAGTTTGGAGCCCCCACTGACTTAGAACAAATCAAACATATTCATAAGACCAAATTTGCATACCTAGAAAGAATACGGTCAGTGCCTGTCACTATTTTTAAAAAAGGAATTCAGCCATTCATGGCTCTTTAACTGATACTTTCAAAATAGAAATTTTAAAGCAAGATAAACTGAATTTCTGGGCTTTCTCTTGTAAGTTGCCAAAACTTCTAAATGAACCGAACTTTTGACCCTACCACTTGAAACCCCAATGACTGTGAAATAATTTTCAATGACTGTGAAAGAAAGCATTTAAATCCTTCCTGGCCAAATATTTAACTCCTTCCTGTGAAAACATTAAAAAAGAAATTTTAAAAAATAACATTCAGCAGCTCACTCATTTATACTCTGAAAATACTGGGTTTTTTTGCTTTGTGGCTGGAGAGGATCTTAAAGTTTTATTCAATTTACTCATGAGTAACAGATTTTACT